AGGAATCATATTAAAAGTTCAAATACAATGTGAATCAGCATTTAAATTAGAATCCAACCAATATCCAATGAAATTAAATGATATATTGAATGACCTGGATTCGATTATTTATTCTGCGGAACACGTTAGATTTTGGTGGTTTCCTCATACGGAGAATTGTATTATTTGGAAAGCCGATCGAACAACTGGGGTAAGAACTATTATTGTTTTGACGCGTTTCATCTCGTTCTAAATTATTTTGTTTAATGATTAGGATTTGAAAATTCAACAACCCAGTTATTTCAAAGATCACATAGTTTCATATCACCTTTATCAATTTTTGTTATACATTACTCGATATTTTCCGTCAACGGTTCCATTATTAACAACTCTAATGTTTAATTACAAATTCTCTCAACCAAAACAAGTCATAAATGCTTCTTATAAACAATTTAACTTTGATTGTTTATTTCCACATTATACCAACGAATGGGCTATACCTCTGGAAAAAACCAAGGAAGCTTTAGAAAAATTGTATAAATGGATAAATGGTAATGATGTTTTTGTTCATTTTCCTGTTGAAGTACGATTTGTAGATAAAGATGACATTTGGCTAAGTCCTGCTTACAACAGAAAAGTTTGTTATATTGGCATTGTTATGTATAGGTGAGCAAACTGACTTTTTCTTAAAAAAAAAAAAAATAAATAAAATAAAAAAAACAAATCTTAAAAGATAACATCTCTTTAGACCATATAAAAAGCCCGTCCCTTATAAAAGGTATTGGGCTGCATTTGAAGAGATAATGAGATCTTGTGACGGGAGGGCACATTGGGCAAAGGTATTTATTTAAAAAGGAGGATCATTTAAAATTACATATAGTGGTTTAAAATTTTTTTTTTTTTTAGGCACATACAATGACAGCAGCAGAACTCGAAAAATCATACCCAAAATATAAAGGATTCATAGAATTACAAAAATCTTTAGATCCAAATGGAATGTTTCTAAATCTTTATTTAAAAAGACATTTATTTGGAATCGGTGATAAAGATTATTTTAAAGCTAAATTATAATTACAAAAAAAAAAATAATAATAAATAAATAAAAAGAAAAACCGTTAATTTAGAGGAAATTCTTTTAAGCATTATCTTCTTCAACTGATAAACTATAACA